AGAAGAAGAAGAAGAAGAAGAAGAAGAAGAAGAAGAAGAAGAAGAAGAAGAAGAAGATATGCCCACTGTAGCAGCCACTTGCAAGAGGACACTCAAAATTCCAAGAAAGGTTACCTATGCTACTGTAACCTAATGGTTCAACCAATAATCATCTTGTCACACTGACTCCCCAGAGTGTGTATCTTCAAATCTCATTACTAATAAGATAGCATAGCAGCTTCCACTTAACTACCATTCCCATTTTATTCTACAGGTAAATCATAATCATTACCAGCATTCCTCTATCCAGATAGGAAAAGAATAAAGCAATTACCTTCTCTATTTGCTGCCTTTGCGGAGAAGAGACTAGTGTTTGGGGGCTTTCAATTCTCCAGCCTTTGCTAGCAGCCTTCCCATGGCTTTTCATTTTGCAAATGGACAGTCCGCATTTTGAAATGAAATTTTCATTCTTATTCATATACAAGGAAGAATATGCAGAATCTTTCATCTCCTTCTGCTCAATAGGAAGAGGCAGGCTTCTTGATAAGCAACACCAAGTCAGCTGAGGCTCTGCATTTAGAGTTGGGAAGGACAGATTCAGGCTTGGGATTTTTAACTTTCCTGCATGAGACTCTACACTTAATTGGGGCCGAGAGCAAGATTCCTTTGGTTGAGTACAGAGTACATGACAATAAAGCATACTGGAAGAATGACAAAGACATTTTGGACTACCCACTGAACAGGTGGGTAAGTCCTCAAATCCTGACAAAGAGTTAGTCTCTGACTGCCATTCCTTGACTTCCTCCTCACTGCCTTCACACAAAACTGCCCTTTCCACCAGTGAAGAGAGTGAAATTACTGAACTCCTCCCTGACTGTATTAACTTTAGGGCTGAACTCTGCCCAGTCATGTCTGATGATATGAAAAGCCCTCCTGTATATATAGTTGTAAAGCACACTTTCCTCCCAGAAGCAGGTGATGTGCAAGCAATTACACACTCATCTTCTTTTGTTACTAATCTTTGATCATCTAAGCTGTCTCTATTGTCTCCTTTACATGTATCATTCATCTTCTTACTTGCACTTTGAAGATGACATTTTTGATCTACCATAGTTGTAATTGTTGTTGCTTCAAGGATAGCTGGTGGGGAAGCTACCAGAGATGTCCACTTTGTGTGCATATCCCATTTTAGCTCTTTTCTTCTAGCTGGATGGCTCAGATCCAATTGCAAAGGGCACAAAGATATATCAACAGAATTACTATCAAGTAGCTTATTGTTACAGGAAGGATATGGGGAGATGGTTGACATGCTTGGCAATGAAACATACGGTATGTTTTCTGGCTCTTCTGTATGAAACAATGGCACACCTATATTGCTCCCTTCTTGTGAATATTTTAAGATATACTTTGGAAGAAAATCATTTTTCTTTAGATGGGGAATCACTTGATTGCATACCAAATGCTGAGTGGGGGTTGGTGCTGGTGCTGAGTCTCTACAGTTTGATAATTCTCTTGTTCCTGTTGTTATGGGAGATGATTTCTTTGTCAGCTTTTTTATAGCAAACAAATTACTGGTGCCTTTCTCTGTTACATCAGTCTTGAATTGTTCCGGAAATGAAGGTGTAGATATACTTGCTGTATCTGTAAGACTTATAATACAATCTCTATTATTAGATACTGTTATAGAATGTTGGGTTCCTTCCTTACGTTCCATGCTGTCACCTGAAACATGCGTTCCTACCATAACTGTCCATTTTTCTCCCTTACCTGAGTGCTTTACTGATTCTGGAGCAACTATGTTAAGATTATAACAATCTATCAGTTTCCCAACAGACTCAGCTGAACTACTGTTTTTAGATGTTATATTTTCCATGTTTTTCAGTTTATCCACTTTAGGCTTTTTTCTTTCTGAGGGTAACTTCTGAGATTCATAGACCAGCTCACTGGTGTTGCACTGTGGTGCTGATAAAGCTGTGTGTCCATGGTGGAAGGTTTCTTTCCCACTGCATCCTTTTCCATTAGATGCAATATCCTCATATTTTTGCACACATTCAGTAAGTTCCTTTCGTCCATGTGTGTCTTCTAAGTCATGATCATGCCGACTAGCAAGGTTTAATCGAGTTTCCTTAAGTTGGACTTTCAATTCACAACCATTACTTATAGGCAAAGCCTTACTATTGCCACTCTGGTTGTGTTTTGAAACATGTAAGTCTCTGCATCTATTTTCAACAGATGATGTTTCACTTGCCATGCTGTGTTGTTCACAATCACCAACTGAACACAATGGTTCTATTAATTCTGCCAATTTTCTTGAATTCCCCTGTGAAAAAGCAGGGTGAGAAACAGGGCCAGCTATGGAGTGGCTTTCCAATACTTCAGCATTTGGTTTTGTAGTAACATCTACAGCTAATGAAATTACATTTTTAGTTATGGAACTTCTGTCATCTCTCGACAATGTAATTTCCTCATTACAGGCAGTTTCCTTGATATCTGAATAAACGCTTGAAACATTTGTTAGATTGCCTTTTTGTTTTTTGGTTGGTTTACTGCTTTTCATTTTCTGATAAATTTTCTTGAATGTCTCATCCCCATAAACTTGCCATTTTTCCTGAGAAAACATTTTTACTTTTCTCTGACTAGGTTTCTTATTCTTGCTGTTCACTCCTTCCACCCCAGTCTCAGATTTTTTTTTACCTTTTTTCTCTTCTAAAGAAGGTGAAGATTCATTCATACAATTTAGTGGCGCATCATCTACTGCCACCTGTCTGACAAGTGCCCGGGGGTGGCTGTTAAGAACATTTGTCATACTTGTGGCTAAGCTGCTGCTATGCAACAAGCCAGAAAAACCTATATCTGGGGACACTCTAGTAAAAGAAGATAATTTTGAACTATCTGCCTGGTCCTGCATCTTCCTTGTACTCTCAATAAAAGGCAGAGA